TCAAATGATGCTTTTCTGCAAAGTTCCTCCTTGTAAGCGAGCACTCAGATTAATGTGAGGCATTGGCCAACAACAGAAGTGCTGACAGCATGGGTGGTGAAAGAAGCAGGGATCCTGGACAGGATGTAGGAGCATGTAGCAAGTAGGGGTGTTAAAATGTGGCTAATTGTGTGAACGCATCACTGCTGAAAATCTCAGTTATACGCACCCGCAGCGGTTCCCTGGCAGCCTACATGCGCGGCAGGGGGGAGCACTGGCTCCTGTCTGCAGCCCCGCTCCCAGGGAGCTGGCTGCCACCCCCTTATTGCTGCCTTTGATACAGAGGCAGCAGCGCAGGGTGGCAGCCTTCTCCCCAGGAGTGGAGTGGGATCGTGCACGTGACCATGAATGGTGCCGATGACCCAGGCTTATCACGTAACCATTTACATGGTTATACGTTCACATCCCCAGTAGGAAGGCAAACTTCACCCTCATGAAATCTATTTGGGAGGAATTCGATGAGGTGATAATCATCACCTTCTCTTGGGTATCTGGGCTGTGGCTTTTATTGAAGAAAGAGACAATTTCCTTCCTTTGTTGTTTAACTCTCTACACTTTGGAGGCTCTTAATATGAGGAAATGAAACCACATTACATGGCACCCTCTGTGGAAATGATTACCTATAATAGAGCTTAGGGAATTGAGGGCCCAATCCTGTCCCAGGTTCTGCTAATGTAGACCCTTGCCTCTGCTGAAGTCAAAGGGGCTCTGTTTGAGTGTAGGGGTCTGTGTTAGTGAATCCTGATGCAAGGTCTGAGCCAAAGGGCAGATCTGTGCTTAAAACACTACAGCAGCAGCTGTGCGCTTAAGCAGTGAAGACACTATTGTGCTCATGGGAGAGCATCTCCCCTTAGCATAGTTAATTCACCTCCATGAGAAGGATGTTGACAGGTTTCTCTTGGCAACATGGCACTGATTACAGCAGGGCTGAGGTCGATTACAGTTTTGTTGCTCAAAGATTTGGATTTTTCACCGCCCTGAGTGATGTTATATCAGTATAAATTTATAGTGTAGACCTGGTCTAAGAGTGCACATACAACAACAAACATCCTCCTCAGTTTGTTGGGAAGCATCTGATGATATCTGTTTTATAAAACTTTGTTTGTTCTGATCATTGGAAAAGAAATCCTTAGCAATGTTTGGCATGCAGCACATTGCATATGACAATTTATTACAGTGTTTTGTGTTTGGATTTTTTTATTTTGTTTTTTCTTTACACACTGCATACCAATTGTAAATTGCTATACAGCTGATGAATATTGTAAAGAAATGCACATTGAGATCACATGTAATCTTCTTCATGAGTTACTATTGATCACAAGATGTTGGCTTAGTTGACCCCCGTCTTGATCTTTGTTCTGTGTTTTTAGATGGTTTTTGTGTATAATGCTCATGTGATCTCAGTGTTTTTTGTATCCTGCAGTCACGGATGGATATTTGCCATTACTGGGTGAACATAAGATGCTTTTTAAAACCTTGATGGCAAAGAAGGAAAAGATTTCCTTGACTCTGAGTTTATATCATCCTTTTCCATCAGAAAGGAAAAATTCAGTTTGTCAATGTCATCTCTTTCGGTAGTTTTTGGCTGGAAGATGTTAATATAACTTAGTTCTTCTTGTTGCAGAAGAGATTTTTTTAGCACCTCCAAGAATTGTTTTTATTTTTTTTCTCTTGAAAAACACATAGTTTTGTGTAGTGAATGCTATGCTTATTTTGTTAATCAGATGTTTATAATCTAGATTGAAATTGCATGATATGTTATGGACTGTGTGTAAGAAATATCTCTTAAAATAATTATTCTTCACTATTTTAATTGAAAAATCTGTTGTAAAATGTACAGGGAAACTTAGTCTAAATTTTGTTGAACTGTAGTAAACAATAGTTATATGTGAAACAGATTTAATACTTCTGGGATTAAAACAGTTACTTGAAGGAGATCAGTTTCTCTCGTAGACATGTGTGTATCTCCCATGCTTGGTTCTCCAGAATAGAAGATTGTCTTTATGAAAAAGTCCCCCAGAATTCTATTAATAGATCACTCTTCCGTAGAAGTTTTAATCCATCCTGTAAAATTTAATTAACAAATAATTGTGTTCTTGCTATAATCCTCAATAGTATGGTTTAAAATTTGTGTTGAAAAACCATCATTTTCTATTACAATTTGGAGAGCATTTAGAGCAGTTTTATATGGAGTCCTATCTAGTTCCTGTTTAAACCTATTGCTTTCATCACGGTTAAATGTTACAGGACTCTTTCCATAAGAGTAAGTAGTGAAAAGGCCATTGACAACAACAGCGGATGGGAGGGGGGAGTACTCTTTTGTGCCTTTGATTGTGTCAGATTCCGTTTCTTTGCAGTCATTCTTTTTTTACTTGAGGGGTTTATGGTGCAGTGTCCGTCAGGACAACCCCATCTTAAAGTTGCAGTTGTATTTCTCCCTTGAGTTCGTAGAGGTGATGTTATCTTTTGTTCACTCAGCAGTATGGTCATTCCTAAGAGCATCTGTCACTTTAGGCATTATAAGATGGATTGGTCTCAAGTGAACTGCTGGCTGAAGCAAATGGTGAAAATAAGAAAAGGCAAGGGGGTTGGGAGCATTCAGAGATCAGAGAGGACAGACAACAAGGAAACACTGTTAAAAATCAAGAGTAAGCCGAGCAATATAGAAGAAAGAACCAAGATTGATCACATGTTGTCATATTCTGAGTGTCAGTGGCTGTAGTGGTCCGAGGAAGTCTTCTATATTATGGTAAAATGTATTTGCTTAGCTTTTAGATTTTATTTGGATATGGGGGACAGACAGTCAAAATAGTGTGGTAGATTATGAGGAAGAAATTGTGCTTTTTTGTTATAGCTTTCATTCTAGCTTTAGGATAAATTTTAAATATCAATACTCAAAACAAAAAGTAAAACACCACCATCAACCCCCCCGCCCTCCCAAAAAGCCGGTTGTGACACTATTTTATTTATCTTGGTGTCTCCGTCTGCCTTGGATGTTTGTACATGTATCCCTCACCCCCATTCTGTTATCTTGAATGCTAGTTTAATTTTGTGCACAAGCAGTAACCGAGAATATTAATAATTTTGCTTTTGGAGATGCAAATGAAGCTGTTTAATGAGCAATTTGCAATTCAGAGTGTTTAATATAAAAAGAGAAGTTATAAGTTCTCTGACTTAGTTGGACATTTTGAACTGAATGAAAAATTATATATATAATATTTATTTTTTTAAAGAAGCAAAAGTCCCAGTTTGCAGATGCTATCCGATTAGAACAAAGTGAATTTTTACGTTCAGAGGAGCCCATATGTAAAAAGGGGTAGGGAGGGATCTAAGCTTGAAAAATGATTTTGTCACATTATTTGGCATTGGTCCATGAGGGGAAGCATGGGTTGAAAGGCGAAGAAATTAAGATGATTAGAAGCTTTAAAGCTTCACAAATGGTAGAGTATCTCCCTTCTGAATGGATGTAAATAATAGATGAAAGACTAAGAGTGACAACAAAGGATCAGGGCATTTAAGAGGATGTGTGCAGCCTCAATAGAGGTCTGTGGCCTAGGGCCAAAGGTCTTAGCTTTGGGTGTAATTAGAAGAAAATACAAAAATGTCATTACTAGCAGGTGAAATGTTCAGCACGTGGCAAAAAATAGCAATTTCAGATCTGAGAGCTGTTTGAATTGAATCATGGGCCTGTTAAAAAATCATGATTTTTTTGTGTGTGCAGATTCTTATGATTTGATCAGAAATGATCCAAGCTAGGCTAATAGCATGGCGAGGTAGTGCAGTAAGAACTATAATTCAGGGGGAAAAAGAGTTGTGTAGGCTTTTCATGTTACAGTAAAACACATTTATCCTGATAAAATAAGATCCATAAGCTAGAGTGTCAATCTTTAACAGCCCATTCCTTTTTTAGTATTGAAGAAAAGAAAAAAAACAAAATTATATTGTTGGAAAACCCTTTTATTTCGTTTTTATTTAATTTTTGTATTATCAGCATGCTTTCTAAACATATACAATTATAAGTTGCCTGACAATACTGGACCAAGTTCTGCTGTCAGCTTTAAGGAGAATCTTCCATTTACAAGCAGTTAGGAAAGAGTATGGTCCATTAATACAGAGAAAATGAATTGGCTGGAGTGACTAGGGAGTGCTTGTATGTGAAATATAAGCCAGTCAACAAGAAGTCTATTTAAGGCTTTCCCTCCTGATGATAAATTTTACATACTGTATTACGTGTTTTAAAACATCACGTTTTTTACTTACTGGTTGCTACAGCCCCTGTTGATATCCTCTTGGGCTATTTAGATATTTTTCTTGTATTAAAACTATATTTACAGTAGCTGTTTGAGTATGGGAGAAGGGAGAAATTAGCAATCCATCTCTGACTTAATTTTTGTTTGGAAATAATTTTTGATGCATATTATATATGCCAAAACACATACAAAGGTATATTTTAAAAGCAATGTGTGTCAATAGTATACTCCTTAGATTATCACTAAGTATTGATCTCTGCCTGGAGAATTTTCCTTTAAGTGATTATGTCTTCCACTATTAGGCCCTGATCCTGCTGCCATTGCACTTAGTAACAATGTGATGGATCAGATCCTTACTCTGCAAAAGGAACTTGAATGCTTTTTGTTCTTTAATGGCACAAAAGGAGCCACAAACATGCTGCAGCAAGTGCAATATAGTTTATATGGCCATTTAAAAAACACCACCACATTTTTCTTTTTTGTCAGCTTGTGTGCACAGTGAAGAAAGAGTGCTGTAGGGTTTGTAAACATATAATTAAGAACAGGATCTATCTGAGAGCATCTCTGTATTGACCAGATTTGCCCTATGTGAACTTTGATAAGCAGGTTTTAATATCATGTTGAGGCAGGTTTTAATGTCTTGTTGCTATTTGTATATGTTGAATCTGAACTGCCATCAATTATTTTTCCCCCTCCTTCATTATTTTGCAGGTTTAAGAACTTTAAAGACCTAGATAACGTGGCAGCAGATTTCCCTAAACTCTTGGCTAAAACCCTTAATCATGAATGTATTTCAAAAAGGTTAAAAGGATTACAAGAAGGTACAGTACTTACCACATTCATAATGTGGAATATATGATGTTTGTTTTTGTATACTTTGTCTTAAATATCAACTTTTAAAAACTGTGTTTTGAGAAACTGCAACTGTAAAAGTTTTATTTCTTAACAATTGTTATGCTCTTATTCCAGCCTCTCCCAAAAACTTTTTAAAATTCATTCACTTAATTTAAAAATGCTCACTAGAAAAGACTTTGTTTCTAAATACTTTCTTTTCTATGTACTTGCTTTTCTATGTATTAAAATAGCCTCAACTTTATTACTTTATTATAATTGTTTGATTCCACTGCCATTCCTTGCTTGATGTTTGACCTCAGAACTTTGCAAGTTTCCAAACTCTGGTAGTCAAATAACTGCATAGGAAGTTATATATCATGTATTATATTCGTAGGTGTGTATATTAAACACACACACTCACTGTATGTTTTTTCTGCAATCTCAGAAGTGTTAAAACAATGGGGGTGGAGAATTTGAGTCCTCTAGTTGAATGTTATGACTTATAAAAATAGATGTGTACTTCCAGCTGAGAGTTTCACAGTAGTATTTTCTGATGTTTCTGATGTTGCTGTGATTGGGAGAGGCTTGACTTATTCAAAATAGGACACTGGACTCCTATCGTTTCTTGTTGTATTTAAGTGACCCAGCATTTCCAGGAGGCCAAAGATCTATTCCTGCTTTATGACCTGTTATATCCTTGGGGCAAGGGCTGCACTGAGGCCCAGTATAACAGGAGGGTCATTGCCACAGTCCAGGTCCTAATTGTTGCTTCATGGTTACCACACAGATATCAAAACCTGCTCTCTGTAACATTGTAGCTGGGAACATCTGGAACATAGTAGTAGCCTGGGAGGGCGGGGGGGAAGCCTGTTGCATTTTGTTTCACCAGGTGCTAGGAGGAAGCAATATTAGACTTTTTTTGATATGGGAGGCAAATTCTGTGGCCCCTGAAGTTAGGCAACAACAATTGAAGAGGTCAAAGGACGGCTGAGTGGGGTCAATGAGACACCATAGGGTGTATTTTGTTACTTAGTAAAAGGAGCAGCATCCTAAAATCTTAAAGGGTTCTCTTGAAAATCTACGTTGAGAAAAGGTTTTATGAGTCTGATGGCAAAAAGTGCTGATTTATCTGGAATGCTTGCTTTTGTCTGAATGAAAGGCTAAGCCTTGCCAAATGTGGTCAGCTATCATAGTGCAGTCACTACAGGACTGAATGGACCATTTTAAAATGGACTTTGGCTTCCCAAATTATTATCATTGTAATGTTTCTCTATCTGAAAAGAATTCTGGGCTGTTCAACTTTGATATCAAAGTTAACACAGTGAGTGAAATATTTGAAAAAGACAAAAGGAAAAATTACTAATAAATTAAAGATTTCTATTCCTTAGGGAAGTCGCTTAGCTGCTGTAAGTTTGTTTTTGTGTGTGTGTGTTTCTTTTAACAGGAAAATCTGAAATTACTGATAGCATGTCATCTAGTCTAAACTGTAGCTGATTTTCATCCATTAATATTTATTCTGTGAATATTTAAACTTGTCTGGGTAAGCTTTTGTTTGTTTATTTAATTTGTTCTATGTACTGAACAAAAGAGAAAAATAGTTTTTGACTGAGGAATACCTATAATTTATTTGGCATAATCCTTGTTTTTATTATCCACAAATGGTTAATTCTCAACACTTTTCAATGAAGCAGATAGGAAATCAATGTCAGAGTCAAGACCTTGTAAAATATATATAAAAAAATGTAATAAAGGTTGCCCTGTTCCCAGCAAAGGGGGTGGAGGAAAGAATATGCGTGTTATAGAAAAGGATTTTGGCACAGCTCACAATCCCAAGGTCTCAGATTTTGATCTTACCATCTTATACAAGCGATCATAGTTACAATAGGAAGAAATAGACGCTTAGGAGATGGGAGGTGATGGTGGTGGTGTTATAACAACTATACAATCTTGATCTTTAAAATAATACATTAGAAAGAGTGGATATCAAATAATCTGTGTATCTGTAGAACAATTGGAATCAAGTAGATATAGTGTCATACCAGGAAAAAAGAAATACTTGTCTTTTTTGTGAAGCATGATTGTCCAAAGGGTTTAATTATTAACCCTTTAACTTAATGTATGCAGATGTTTGGCACAATTTATGTCAAGGTTAAGGCACCTTTAAACAAATATCTTGGAAATGAGTAAACCCTCTAAAATACAAATTGCCTATTAAACATAATCCCTGTTTAAATAAGAGCTTAGTTTTGCTTTAAAACTGGCACATTCTTTTACTTTTTTTTTTATGCCCCATTCAAAACTCATCAGGAGACAAAGGGGTGTAAGTTTAAGGAGTATGCAAAGGGGAGGTACAGGAGTTAGGAATATCAACCTTCATTTTGAATTTCCAGGCCTCCACCAATTAGGGTACGTCTAGACTACATGCCTCTGGTGACAGAGGCATGTAGATTAGGCTACCCGGCATAGGAAAGTGAAGCGGCGATTTAAATAAACAGCCGATCAGCTGTTTGTCTGCTCAGCATGGTAGTCTGGACGCTCCGCAGTCGACATCAAAGGCATTTGTCGACCTCCCAGGTAAACCTCATCTCAGGAGGCATACCTGGGAGGTCGACAAATGCTTTTGATGTTGACTGCAGAACGTCCAGACTACCATGCTGAGCCGACAAACAGCTGATCGGCTCAGCACGGCAGCCATTTAAATTTAAATGAAGCGTCGATTATTTAAATCGCCGCTTCATTTTCCTATGCCTAATCTACTTGCCTCTGTCTCCAGAGGATTGTAGTCTAGATGTACCCTTAGTATTTAATTTCTGTACAACAAACTATCGATGAAAAACTAGTCTATAGCATAGTGGAAAGATTGAAAAATGTTATACAGTGGGATGGATTTTAACAGAGACTGGATTGGCCTGATATCTCCAGGCTTGTACCTGTGTCTCTAAACACAAAGCTAGATTCTTACTAATACATTTATAGAAAATTGTTAGGGGATATGTATCCATCCAAGATCATGTGTGTATCAGAAAAGGCATAGATTAGACAGTACCATTAGGGGTTCCAAACAATATTAAGGATTGTAGCACGATGATACTTAACATATATAAAATGCAGATCGTATAGATCTCTCTAAAACACTTAGCCATCCATTGATGAAAAATGCTCCAAAAGTAAAAAATATTATTTTTTTTAAATTGAGTTTTTACCTGCTAGATAGAAAGTTGTACAAGTAAGATGTATTTTCTTCCTATTGGATGCTGACAGTTAATGTTGATTTTATCTGCCTGAATCAAAGTGTGAATGTAGGAATTGTGACTGTTGTGCTTGTGTGGTAGGCACAGAGTGTAGATAGTAAATACCACTAAGAAACTTTATTGTGAGGGAAAATTAATAGGGGATGCACAGCAAAATGTCTAAAATAAATAATTTAGTCCTATATACTTTCCTCTTCTTCTTAGCCACAAAACCCAAAAGCACTAGTTACTGAAGTGAATATTAACTATTTTTAATAGGCAAATAAGCAAATGCTAACAAACATTTGCGATTCTTTGTTTATTAATTCCTATATTGCATAAATTTCTTTGGTTAGCTTTTTAGTTAAAAACTGTTTTCCCCCCATATCATGAACCATTGTGTATTGCATTTTGTAGCTTAGAAAATAAATTCAAATCCTGAAAATAGATGTTAGTCTTTGGATTGCTGAGGTAGCCTTGGCTTAGAAAGATAGCACAAATGCAGACGGCTACTCCTTTTTTATTATTTTTTAAAAAAAGACGCTTCTCTTTATTTACTGTTTTAGTTTGTTCTGTTGAGTTGCCTCTGTATTGAAAAATCTGGTCTCCTGTGACACCTTGGAAGGTCACACAGTGCCTATTAGTGATTTGAATCTTTGATCTCTCCCAGCCTCTGTAGTTCCAGATATTCTTGACAGATATTTGTTTATTTTACAGAAGAATTTCTGGTATTTCTGGGAAAAGAGAAAGTAAAGACTCAGCCTTGATGCACTATAAATGAACGTCACATAGATGAATAAATAAGAAAAACCATTAGGAATAAATCCTCAAATCATTCAGCAATTTATGATTGTTTCCACCAAAAAGTAATGAGAGAGAGAAGGATTTATTTAATAAAAATGAAATGAGCCATGTGGCCACTATTATGCAACAGTATAAGACTGTTTCACAGAAAATTGCACATATAGCATTAACCTTGACATAGTTTTGAGTTTAGTTTTTTTAAGATATTTGTATGCCCATATTTTTTTGTTTGCTTTACTAGTGCACTGTTTTTGGCAAAGAAATGGCTATGAAAACAAATGTCCAATAATTTTATTTTGTTGTTTTGAGCAATGGCTGACTGTGCTTAAAAGTGTGATTGTTAATAGGTCTGTTAACTGCAGAAGACTGTAGTGAGGTTTCACATACTGAAAGTAAACGATAAAGTATACCTGTTATGTTCATTTTTATTCTTATTTATAAGCAGTTGAGGATCTAGTCAGAACATTTATAAATAGTCTGGCATAGACACTTAGCCAAAGAGATGTTTAATTCCATCAGTGATTCCTTTTTTTGAAGCCTGATTTAAAAACCAGGAAAAAGGTATTTTATCTGCAATGCATTGTTTTAACTCAATGTGGTAGGGAATTTCTAATAAATTTGCCTACTTTTATCCAGGTCTGCCAAACACAGCAAATTGATTTCCCTGAGCTGTTTGCATTTTTTTATCCATAGAATCATTTTGTGGATTTTTTTTTGTTTGTTTTCCAGTTTCTTTTAAGAGAGGGAACATGAGAGAACAAACCTTGTTTGTGTTTTTGGTAGAATTACACATTTAGTAGATGAAGAAGAGGTATAGGATACAATGTGTCTGATCATTTGGTGCAGTATGGCTAATTTGTGGCACACCTCACCTCTGGCTCACTTTGGCCACAAAATTTATCTAATTCTTCCTGGGAGAATAAATAACACCAGTGCAAGGGAGATGCTATAGT